TCCAAACCTTGAATATCTTAGTGCTCCAATTAATTCTATCACAGACGAATCACTTGAAATTATTCGTTGCCTGTTGGTGTCTTGTAATCATTTAGAAGGATTCGCATTGCGTGCACAGAGATCAGTCCAGGAATTAATAGAGTATGATAAGCATTTACTTGATGGGGATATACTCTTTAATCTATTTATCGATCATGCTCCAAATTCTTTATGTAATCTTAAGTTTGATTACTCTGAAGATGATTGTGAAACAGCATTTAAATTTAGTTACGCTGCAATTAAATTATTTTTAATTAATTGGGAGAAACAAAGAAGGAAGAAACTTGGACTTTCTATAGTGATCGAAAATTTAGGAATGCTTACTCACGAATTACATGCGATAGAAGATATACTTTATGAATATCGTGTAAAAAATGTTCTTGAAACATGTAAATTGAGTTCAAAATCTCCACTGATTTTCTCTATTCGTGCAGAAGATTGGCAAAGAAGTATTCATGATGATTGATTTTTTAACTGTAATTTTATTATCGATAATTTTTTATTGATTGATACATGAAGATAATAGAATTAAAAGTAAAAAAAGAATTAAGATTTTATAAAATTTTTCAATAAATCGATCTAAATTGATCAAATCATATTTGGTTCTCCGTCAATTAATGCATTATAAAAAACCATGATACGCATAATCATTTTTACGTATTTATGTATGTGTTGCATAGTTCATACAGCTTTGTACATACTACAAATTATATAAAAGGACATTGATGGATTTACAGATCAATTATTATGATGATTCAAAACCGTTTATCCTTACTAGTTTCTGCAAATTTTAAAGCCCGTTTGGTTATGGCAATCGGGTTTAGAAATGCACGTCATTATTCTTCAGGTATTAAAGTTTTGAAAATACATAGGCTTTAGGTTGTATATTTATATTAAATTATTTTTGTTTATCCTTTATTTTTATAAATAGATATGGTAAGATTTGCTACTTTCCTCGCTACAAATTAGGTTATAATAATAATCTTTAGTATTTCATAGAGTTCTAGAAATAATACTATTGGGTTTATTGGACTTGGTCTAATGGTAAATATTGTAATAAATCGTTAATATTTTATATTATTCACTATATAATCCGTCATTATAAAACTTTTTTTTTTTATGTAGGGTTTCAAAATGGCTAATAATCTATACTCTAAATCCAAATCACCATTGGTTATTTACGATATAAATAAAACATCTCTAGAAAAATTTACTTCTTTACATTCAGCAACTCTAACTCAAAAACCAATTTATCATGCTAAATCTCCCGCCGATGTTGCAAAAAAAGCTTCAGTTGTTATTACAATGTTACCATCGTCACCTCATGTAAAAGAAGTTTATTTAGGACATGATGGGTTAGTTGAGGGGTTAGATGAGCAGAATTTCTTTATTGATTCTAGTACTATTGATCAAAGTGTTTCGAAGGATGTTGCTCAACAAATTATTGATAAAGGAGCGAGACAGATTGATGCGCCAGTTTCTGGAGGTAACTTTATTATTATTATTATTATTATTATTTTAATTGCTATAATTAGATTTATTTCAAAATAAAATAGTTTATTATTAACTTCATTAGGAGTTGTTGGCGCTGAAGCGGCTACTTTAACATTCATGGTCGGAGCATCAACAGAAGCGGACTTTAAGAGATCTAAACCATATTTAACATGTATGGG